TCCAACTCTATGGACATTATCACATGGGGAGTTGCGGGAAGAAAGTGGAAATAAACGGGCATGAGCGGAAGTCTTTAATTTACGGGATTTGTCCCGTTCCGCCTCGTCTGATAACTAAATTCGGATTTAAAAGGGGGTTAATTCGAATGCAAACCTGATATTTTCATTTTTGGGATTTTTGAGGATTTGGAAAGATCAGGTTTTTGTTCAAATTAACCCCCTTTTAAATTCGAATTTAGTTATCAGACGAGGCAGAACGGGACAAATCCCGTAAATTAAAGTCTTCTGCTCGTCCTGTTTATTTCCACTTTCTCCCCGCAACTCCCCGTGTGATAACGTCCTATGATTCTATGAAAAGAGTTCATGATGAATGGAAGTTTCTTACAAGTAAAATATTGAAGACACAATTTCAAAGAGTTCCAGTGAGGAGGAAACCACAAATGATGTCTAAAGAACTTTCAACTGAGCTAAGTTTTAAAAGGGGCATGTATAAGAAATGGAAAAGGGGGGAATCACCAAAGAGGAATTCACAGTTAAGGACAAAGTTGGAAAGGTTAAGATGCAGACAGAACAAGCTCATACTTGCTACAGAGGTTAAAAACCATAAAAAGTCCCCCCCCCACCCCGTTACTAGAAAAGCAAAAGTAGAGCAAGGAAATGGTAGGACCATTGCATGGAGAAGATTCGCTAATGAGGGACAGTGAAAAGGCAGAATTACTCAACACCTTCTAGGCCTCACCCTTCTCTCAAAAGGAAACAGTGCTGAATCTGGGGGAAATGGAGCAGATGGTGAAGAAGGGGAAATGTTGCACAGAAAAGGTAAAGAGGAAGTTTAGGAATACCTGGCTATTCTAAATGAATCCAGATCTCCTTGGCCAGATAAACTACATCCAAAAGTATTAAAAGAACTGGCAGAAGTAATCTCAGAGCCATTGACAATAATCTGAGAATTTCTAGTAAAATGGAGAAATCCCAGCAGACTAAAGGAGGGTAAATGTCCTCATCTTCAAAATGGGGGGAAAAGAGGACTCAAATAATTACCACCCAGTTAGCTTGACATCAATATCAGGAAAGATTCTAGAGCAGATCATTAAACAGACAATCTGTAAATACTTAGAAAGGAATGCCATAATTGCAAAAAGTCAACATGGGTTTCTCAAAAACAAGTCATGCCAGCTCGATAAGGGAATGCTGTGGATGTAGCATATCATTATTCCAGTAAGGCCTTCAACAAGGTCCCCCATAATATCTTGGTAAACAAGCTAATAAAATGTGGGCTAGACAATGCAACTGTGAGGTGGATTTGCAATTGGTTGACCAGCCAAACCCAGAGGGTGCTCAGCAATGGCTCCTCTTCATCTTTTAGAGAAGTGACCATTGGGGTGCCAAAATGGTCTATCCTGGGCCCAGTGCTATTCATCTTTATCAATGACTAGTATGAAGGAATAGAGGGCATGCTTATGAAAATTGGAGATGACACCAAATTGGGAGGATCAACATTCCCACTTCATAATGACCATAACAAATTACAGAGAGTTGGGCCAAAACTAACAAAATGAATTTCAACAAGGAGAAATTTAAAGTACTACACAGGCAGAATAAAATAAGAGGCTCAGATACAGGATGTGTGACACCTGGTTGACAACAGTACATGCAGAAGGAATCTAGGAGTTTTAGTAGGCCATAAGATGAACATGAGTTGACAGTGTTATGCAGCAGCTAAAAAAGCAAATATAATCCTAGGTTACATCAATATAAGTGTAGTATACAGACTGAGGGAAGTTATAGTTCCACTCTATTCTGCTTTGGTCAGACCTCACCTGGAATACTGGCTCCATTTTAGGGCACCACAATTCAAGAGTGATATTGTCAAGATGGAATGTGTCCAGAGGAGGGTGACCAAAATTGTGAATGGAAACCATGCCCTATGAGAAGCATCTTAGGGAGCTGGGTAGGTTTAGCTTGGAAAATTAAGAAATGACATGATATCCATGTTTAAATATTTGAAAAGATGTCATAGGGCCTTTGCAGACTGCTAGAAATAGTGCAAATTGAGTCCACTTTAAGGGTTAGTGTTATGGAATTATGGGAACTGCATTTTATTGTGGCACCAGAGCTCTCTGACAGAGAAGGCTCAATGTCTCAGAAAAAAATACAATTCCCATGATTCCCTAGCACTAACCCTAACCCTTAAAGTGGACTCAATTTGCACTATTTCTGGCAGTCTGCAAAAACCCATAGTGAGGGTGCAGCAAGCTTGTTTTCTGCTGCTCCAGAGAATAGGACCTGGTGGATTCAAGTTACAGGAAAAGAGATTCCACCTAAACATTAGGAAGAACTTCTTGGTGATAAGAGCTGTTTGATGTGGTACACACTCCCTCGGAAAGTGGTTGAGTCTCCATCTTTGGAGGTTTTTAAACAGAGGCTGGAGGACCATCTGTCAGGGGTGCTTTGATTGTGAGTTCCTGCATGGCAAGGGATTGGTCTTGACAGCCCTTTTGATCTCTTCCAACTCTGTGATTTTATGATTTTTATTTTAAAGTCAATGATAAACCATGGTTTCTTAAGCTGATTAGTTGAAACCAATCACGGTTAATGTGAACCATGTTTCCTGACCTAAATGACACAAGGAGCCACCTGCAATACAGATGCTGCACAGACTAGCCAAAAGGGCTGGCCTGGGGGTGTTGTGGGGATGTGGTGACTACATTCTGGTTGAGTGGGCAGTGTGATGGTGGCATCAGGGTGCTCCCTTGGCACAGCATTCACACACACTGCACCAAAGGAGCATCAAAAGCCAATGCCGCAGTGGCAAGGGTGGCTTTTTGCCACTCTAAAAAGGAGTGGCATTTGCCAGCTCTTTTTTTGAGTGGCAAAGCACTGGATTGGGGCTGCAGCATGCAGTTGCCTTCTGTTCAGCCCATAGTCTCTCTTTATGTTGCCTTTATAGACTTTAAAGCAGGTTTTGACTCTGTATCTCAAACCAAACTATTAGAAAAACTGGAGGCTTCCTAGATTGATTGTTGTCTACTACACCTAATTCGTATGCTGCATGAAGGGACCTCATTCAAAGTAAGATGTAACTGGCAGGGTTATCTCACCAATGCCATTGCCACTGAGAAGGGTGTCAAGCAAGGCTGCATTCTATCTCCACTCCTGTTCAACTTTTAGTGGGAAGGCATATATCAGCTCTGCTCTATGGAGATGATGCAGCAGTATTTTCAAGAACACCCATTGGCCTAAAAAGAGCATTAAGAATACTACTAACACAGTACTGCAGAGAGGATCAGCTAGAACTCAATTAAAAAAACCCTAAAATCATGGCATTTGTTAAAAGGCCCAAGAACCATAACTGAAATATAGATAGCCACAAGATCAAACAGGTCTCCTGATTCAAATATTTGAATGTAATCTTTCACGCTACTGGTAGTAGGAAAGCGCATGGGGACTATGCTATTATTATTATTAAAGTTTATTTCTAAAGTGCTGTCAATGTACACAGCGCTGTACAAAGATATAATCAAAGCATAAAATAGAAATAAATAAAAATCTGCCAGAGGCATACAATCTAAAAGTACAAAACAATAGGTAAAATAAAATAAGCGTTAATTAAAAGCAACTGTTGGTAACACAGAGAGGAGCACAACAGCCATCCTCAAATTTCTTATGACAAGAGGAGGCTACTATATACCAGCAGCACTCAAACTTTTTGAAGCCAAATCGGTTGCACAACTGCTTTATGGATCCCAACTGGGATTTCTCTCCAACTCTGCACCATTAGAACCCATGCAACCCAAATTTCTAAGATCAGCATTCCAAGTTCCAAAATGTGGCTGTAATACAACACTAAGATTGGAGTCAAGCTTTATGAAAATGGAGGCCACTACTCAGATACTGGACTATCTTCCCCCCCCCCCCCCACCAGCCTTGCTCTACTTACCCTGCTTACCCTGACAGATGAATTCCAGCCTACACAGTGATGACTAAAATTTCTTCACTGGATTTCTCTCCTGATCCTTTGCTCAGCATAGGATATGAAATGCCTAAAGCAACCATTAAACAATTAAACAACCATTAAACAATGGGTGATAAGATATAGAGCGACAACTAGATCTAGCTAGCACCCCAACTTTTCTTGTTAATGACTCCAACAGATACTTTGCATCATCAAAACATTGAGAGCCTTTACTTTGGCACAATGCCATGCCCTTCCCTCAGCCATCCTTCCTCAGCCATCCTTGAAGGCTGGTACAAGAAGATCCCCTTCTCAGTTTATGCCCCTGTGATTCTGGCCAAATAGAGAGAACAGAACACATATTACTCTAGTGCTCATATTACAGGGACATCTGCCTCAGCCTTATTTCACCTTTATTGTATAAACATCAAGGACACACCAGCCAATTTTACACTTCTTTGTACTTCTTTTACACTTCTTTGTTGCTTCCAGACACCAGCCCTGATATATAATATTGCAAATTTTGTGCAGCTTCAGTTACAATCCATCAGGCAATGACCTCCGCAATAGGCTAGCACCAATCTTGCCCTGCCACACTGGATTTTAAAAGGATATTTTAAATAGTGTTTTTAATCTGTGTTTTACCTTTCTTTTACCTTGCCTTTACCTTCTTTTATTCTGTATCCCCTTTTTATCTGTGCTGGTTTGTTACTGTAATAAAAATGAACTGAACTGAACTGAACAATTAAATAAATGCAAGGACAGTCACTTACAAATTCCTGCTCTTGGTTGCACAGGAAGAGATGGGAGTGGAATTTTAAGCTCATGGCCAAATTCTCTTTTTACAAATGTTTGAGATAGAAGAGCCCTAGTTTCTGTTGATGACGATGATGATGTATGCTTCAAGTTGTTTCTAAATTATGGTGATCCTAAGGTGAATCTATCATGGGGTTTTCTTTGCAAGATTTGTCCAGAGGTGTTTTTCTATTGCCTTCCCCTGAAGCTGAGATCATGTGACTTGTCCAAGGTTACCCAGTTGGTTTCATGATCAAGCAGAGAATCGAACCCTGGTCTCTAGAGTCACAGTCCAACATTCAGATCACTACACCACACTGGCTTTCTAGTTTCTGTTAGCATTTGGCATTTCACTCAGTATCTCTTTCATTATTATTTAACTTGAGATACTTTTCTTATTTAATGAGTGTGATTGTTGTTTTATTTTGTATTATGTAAGCTTCTATGGAACTTTAATAGTGAAGAAAGATCATATCAGAACGTAAATAACAGGCCACCCTATTTAGAAAGAAATGGCAAATTAACATAAGTGAACATTTCAAAGATGTGGTTGCTAAAAAGGCCAATGCAATTTTAGGCTGCATGAATAGAGGTATAGTGTCTAGATCAAGAGAGGTAATAGTGTCACTCTATTCTACTTTGGTCAGACCTTGTCTGGAATACTGTGTCCAGTTCTGGGCGCCACAATTCAAAAAGGATGTGGAGAAACTGGAGTGTGTCCAAAGGAGGGCAACTAAAATGGTGAAGGATCTGGAAACCATACTTTATGAGGAAAAATTTAGGGAACTGGGTTTGTTTAGCCTAGAGAAGAGACGGTTAAGAGGTGATATGATAACCCTGTTTAAATATTTGAAGGGATGTCATATTGAGGAGGGAGCAAGCTTGTGTTCTGCTCATCCAGAGAAAGGACCCGGAACAATGCATTGATAAGATATTCCACCTCAAGATTAGGAGGAACTTCCTGACAGTAAGGGCTGTTCGACAGTGGAACACACTCCACTGGAGAAAAATTTAGGGAGCTGGGTATGTTTAGCCTAGAGAAGAGACAATTAAGAGGTGACATGATAGCCATGTTTAAATATTTGAAAGGATGTCATAGTCAGGATGCAGCAAGCTTGTTTTCTGCTGCTGCAGAGAATAGGACCCGGTGGATTCAAGTTACAGGAAAAGAGATTCCACCTAAACATTAGGAAGAACTTCTTGACGATAAGAGCTGTTTGACTGTGGAACACACTCCCTCGGAAAGTGGTTGAGTCTCCATCTTTGGAGGTTTTTAAACAGAGTCTGGAGGACCATCTGTCAAGGATGCTTTGATTGTGATTTCCTGTATGGCAGGGGATTGGTCTTGATGAGTCTATGATTCTAAGTTTGAATTCTTTAAACTCCTGCCTATTGATTCTGAAAGTTGTACCCCAACACATCTGGGAGAGTCATGGTTGGGGAGAATAGACATGGAAGAATTTATTTCCAAGAAGAAGAATCTCCCAGAAACCTCTCTTCCATGTTGTTGAAGTTATATCACATGTTATTTCCAGCTATTTTACACAAAGGCAGTTGTAGTCAGGGTCCAAATATGTGTAACATATGTTACCCTATTTATAGTGTCACAATGACCTGAACAGACTTAGTCAGGCAGATGGTAAACATTACTACCAAGCATAAGAACACTGAAACTCAGACATTTAAATGACTTCAAGTCTTGTCTCAAGCTTACTTAAGGGATTTTTTTTTCCTTAAGCCATTTTAGGTGTCTGGAGCCACTAGAAGACTGGATTTCATAGAGACAGATCTGTTAAGGTTGTAGATCGGTTGCTGAATACATAATTATATTTCCGTCTGTTTAAAAACAAAACAAAGCTTTGGCACAGAGGCAATACAATGTAGCCAATAATCTTTATTCACTTGGAAAACAAAGAAATGTTAATCACTAAAATGTTTCATTCACAATTGTTGGCTGTTTTGATTGTTTTGAACAGAGACCCACATTTTAGAGGTGATAAATTGCTCTCTCCCTGTCAAAAATCAGAAATCTTCTAAGGAGACTGGAAAAGCTGACATTTATTTTCCAGGGAATTAGCTCCTAATTTCTTCATTAGAAAACTTTAAACTTCAAATTGTTGCATCACACTGTTGACTTATGCTTAGCTTGTGGTTTACTAAGAACCCTAGGTCCTTTTCATATGTAGTGTTGTCAAGCAAGGTGTCACCCATCATCTGATTTGTGTTCTTGTTCTAGATACATCTTGTTCTAGATGCATCAACAGGAGGATTCTGTTAACACAAATTGCAGTGGCCTCTTGGAGGGTCTGCAAAGTATGGACCACAACAAGAAATTTGAACTTTAGACTGAATCAGATTCCTCACACATCCCTAGTTGCTGCCATGGCCAATTCACATCTGATTGATTTCAGTGGCTCTGTCTTCTGTATGACTAAATCAGGATCCGACTTATTCATAAAAATAAAAGTGATAAGCACATCTGATATCTGAATTTGCCTTAGCTGAGCAGTTTCCAGGGTAGCATATAGGGAGAAGGGGAACAATACAATATATTGTTAGTTTCTGTAGTCTTAATATTTTGAGACATTTTTTTCTGAATGTATCAAGAGCAAAAGAGTTGATGATTTGGTTTTATCTGTCAAGATGCATTAATGGCATGTTTTCAGAGTTCTTTAGCTGCTGCATTGTGAGACAAAATTGAACATTTTTCTTTTTTTCTTTTTTCATTGCTCATTTAAAGTGTGTGAGAGAATGGTCCTAATTTGGCTTTTATATTACACTTTGCTGGTAAATCTTCCATTACAAGGAGAATTACCTCCTATACAGGGTGACAGAAAGCAGAATAATCTACTTTTGGTTCATTTTTGTTGCTTATTCAACTCTAAAACTGCCTGATTTGGGAATCCATTTTTTTTCTAGTGAAGCATGTTAAGCATGTTCTTTCTTGTGATGACATGAAAATTAAATATGGAGACAGGTGCATTGCACATTAATAGAGCACAAACATAAAATGTCAGATGCAGTTTTTGACATATTCACTAATAAGTAATGGAAAATAGGCCCAGCACCACCATTATACAACGGGAGGCAGCTGATTCTGGAAGCTGATTTGAAGTGTTGTGAAGAACAAATAAATAGTAAGTTATTTCATTATTATGAAATTTATAGAATCATCATGACCTTCCTCTTAGTCAATCACAAAGAGAGGCCTGAAATGAAAGCAGCTGTGTCCATCTATTATCTGCAAACCAGTTCTAGCCGTTTTCATTTCCCCTAGGAATTGTCCTTTTAAAAAAAGTTAATGAGTTTTAATTAACCATTCAAAACTGTGCCACCTGATTTTTTTTTTTTTTGTATACAGTATAATAAGAATAGTTCATAACAATATATTGCTGAGAAAATTCACAGAGAGAGGGAGAGACAACTAATGCAATAATACAGTTGGCCCTTCATATCTTTGGGGGTTCCATTCTACCCTGTGGATGGCAAATAATGCAGGGCCTTAAATTCCATTCTTCTCAATGGTGCTATGATCATGCTGGTACATCTGTGTGTATGTGATGCCATTAGAGAGAACGGAGTGGGGCCATGGATGCTCCAACCTAAGGATGGATGCTCCAACCCACAGGTGGCCAACCCTAATAGCTAAACTAAGAAACAACAGAGAAAGCTGAGGCTGAATCTACACAGTCTAAATAATGTATAATTACCTCGATTCCACATCTCTTGGAACACATGACATTCCTCTCCTTTCAATGTGAAAACATGTTTTTTCAGTGCCTGAGAGCTTTAAGTAGATTTTTAAAAACCTCCAGTTTACTCTGGTGTTTTGGGGAAGAACTGGGTTTTTAAAATGCATCGTTTGAACCTTGAATTGGGGTCATGGTGGAATTGCAGGTGGAAGATAGGAGGGAGGACAGGTTGATGGGTGGTTACCTAAGTCAGGTGATCACCCAGGTCACCTGATTGTTTCCATCACAGAATGGTGTACTGGCATCTGGAAAAGGTGATGTCACCTCCGAGGGGGGGATTTGGTTTTGGTATGCACACATTTGCAGGATGACATTTCAGGTTCCTTCTCAACAGGCTTCATTTTATAGAAAGATAAGTGAGCAATCAGAATGAAGGGAAAACAAAGACTAGTTAAGTGGAATATACAAACATTGTATATATACATACATTATATACAATATACATACATTGCAGGAAATTCCTTCTCCCAAACCTGCAGATGCTACAGTCGTGTGACATAAAACATATGCATACAGTAGGAACACACCCTTTTACATTTGTGATTTTAATGTCTTACAACTTTGTACAGAAATTCTTGAATTCCTATTGTGATTGTATTCACAATGTTGATTTTGCTGGTCAATGACCGAATAAATTTTTACTACTACTACTACTACTAGTAGTAACACATCCTTGCACCAATGTGGCTATGTAATAGGGGTCCCTGTGTGCCTTTTCAGAGCTGTTTGACAATGGAACACACTCCCTGGGCATGTGGTGGAGTGTCCTCCTTTGGGGATTTTTAAACAGAGGCAGGATGGCCACCTGTTGGGGGTGCTTTGATTCTGGCAGGGGGTTGGACTAGGTGGCCCTTGGGGATCTCTTCCAACTCTGTGATTCTATGATTCTAGGTGTGTGTGTCAGTGAAGGAGTCAAACTAGGGTAGGGATACTGCACAGTGAAGCTGGGATACAGATAAAGTCTGAGGATGTGGTGAGTGATGTCATCAACCTTGCTGATCACAGGATCATAGCTCTTCAACTCTATAAGCCCAAGATCTTCTGTGGTTAGGGTGGCCAGGTCAGGGCTAATTCAAAACCTGAAGCTTAAGAACAACCTTTTGGGTTATCACAAGGGATGGGCTTGGAGATACCATAAAGGGTGGGTCTTTGTGCCATCCATCCAATCCCATCCCATCCCTACTTTATGGATATACAGTCTGCCCTCCGTATCCACAGATTTTTTATCTATGGATTCAAGCATCCACAGCTTGAAAATATTTAGAAAACATATAAATTCCAAAAAGCAAACCTTGATTTTGCCATGTGATATAAGCAACACCATTTTACTATGCCATTGTATTTATTGGGACTTGAATATCCACGGATTTTGATATTCATGTGAGGTCCTGGAATCCAAAGCCCAGTGGATACCAAGAGCCCATTGTACCACCCTTTTTCCAGGCTGGGACTAGGGTAGTTTACAAAAAGGGAATGGATACAATAAAACACATATAGTCCCCCGTAGTGCTGCAATGAGATTAGCTGCTATGGTTTGTATTATTTTAATTGTTCTATATTTTCTTACATT